TCTGAACAAGAATTGTGCAAATAAAATTCAATTAAGGCTCAATGTTAAACAAGTCTCAACAAAGTTCAATTCAAACTAACTATAATCTCATCACTAGAAACAGGAAACTAGCAACTCATAATTCTATTTTGAATCAGAAATTGAACTTGGGAGAAAACAATAGACTAGGAAGAACCTTAATTTAAGAAATCCAAAATCGAYTTCWAAAATTTGTTTACTGTTGCTTTTCGAATTTTGGTTCGTACCTGTCCTCGACCGACTGCTCGATCGACTGCTTCTCCTCTTCCTCTAGGTTGCTCCTCCTTCTCGGCTGCTCGATGACAGCCCCTCGATAACCTGCTGCTTCTCGATTTCCCTTCTTGCTGTCAATCGACAGCCCCTTTCCTCGATGTCCCCTTCTCTCCTTGACCGACTGCCTCGCCTCTATCACAGCCTCTATATTGACAGCCCTTGTAGTCTCTTTTTCTCTCAAACGACAGCCRGCTGCTGCTTCTCCCCTCTCTGAATTTCCTTCGCGACAGCCCCTTCCGATTGTTCTCGAGACAGGCTCCAATCCAACAGCCCCTCGAACACTTGCTGCCATCCATTTTGTATCGACAGCCCCTTCGCCCTCTCTGCCCACGTCTTCCGTCTCCATCGCTCTACCCACGATCTCCTCTCGCTGCAGATCTCTCTCTCGCGACTCGATTTCTGTTTGGACAGCAGGTTTGGGCAGCAGCCTTGGGCTGCTGCTGTTTCTTCTTCTCGATTTCCTTTTTTTTGCTGCTGGTCTGGGCTTACAAGGCTGCTTCTTGGGCTGTTGTTATGTGCCAAAGATAACACATAATCAAATACAATTTTCTCACCTTTAATAGCCTCATGAAAATAATATTAACTTAAATAAAAATGGATGTTTTAAGCGTCTACTTAACATTAATTGCAAGGTATCTTTGATATAAAAATGTATAAATTTGGGCTTATCAAATTCCCTCACACTTAGATCATTGTCCGTCCCGGCAATGATTTGAGTTAACAAGTAGTTATAAAAATCGAATCTAACGAGAATRTCAACACATATAGCATATCATGAGTTTGAGATTTGCAACAAATCATTGAAAAGAGAATGCACACGCAATCAAGTAGACACAAGCTAATCTCGAGAACTCACGGATGGGATTAACAAAACAACACTCGATTCACTCCTTGGGTTAAAGTGTATCGCTCAAATTGTCACTATCTAGCATGTATCTACCATAAGCTTGAAAAACCTCTCACTCTCTACTACTTGGATAAAATACATGCTTATAAATCAAAAGGTCTTAAAAGGTGTAACGAAAAACAAGGCTTTGGGTACGGTAGGGAGATATATAGGAAAAATGACTAAGACCTAACACCAACGGAGAATACGGCTACTCAACTACACTTTATTTTTATTTTCACAAAGGACTTTTGTATCTATCTTTGAAGCTTATTCCTTTTCGGACGATAGGGAATAGAGATAAAGCGTTTATATTCAACCGTATCGTCATTTTCGTCGTCTATTTTTATTTTATTATTATTATTTTTTTATTGACGACGTAATTTTGCTCTTCATTATATATTTTTTTTCGTTTTGAATTTTTCTCTTCTTTTTCATCCTTCCTTTTCATTTTTTTTTTATTTTTTTTCACTTTTTTTTTCTTTTCTAGAATTCCCCAACATATAACTACAACTTCTTTTTTAGCATACAGGAAAACCGGGACTACTCCATTGGTGATTGGTCGGGTAAGTTGTGTTTGGATTAGTTCATGRTGTGGGTGACAAAGGAAATAGGCTAAGGCTCAAAGTGGTGTGCAAAAGGGATAATCACATCATAAGGGGTAGGCTTAAGGCTAGTGGTTTAACACAAAAATGAGCAAAAGATGGCCTTTATCATGTTTATTAGCATGTAGTTATCATGTAGTCTTAAGGAGAGAAAGATCAAGTTCTAGAGATGCATATCTAGRCATGACGCAATCACACAAGAAATGAAKTTGAGACTAATATCAAGTGTTTAGTCTAAATAAGCTCAAAGTCTCACGGTGTTCAAAACTAGTTCAAGAGATTAACAATAGTCTACTTTGACCGAAATGCTACCACTAATCAACTCTAAGTGCTATCAATCAAGCTCAATCATGCTATACATGCATCCAAACTCATCGTCATCAACAATTTAAGCTCAATAAAAGCATGCTAACACATTGTCAAAACGGACAAAGATCCTCATTTAAGCACAAAATTTGCAAAAAGCAAAAATTTGACCCCTAAAACCATTGATATACCCAATTCATGCAAATAACCCCCAGCCCCACACTTAATTTATACATTGTCCTCAAGGTATGCAATAAGTAGAGGACACTCTAAGCAATTAAGGAAAAGGGAACAGAAAACTCCCCTGATTTGATGAGTGACCTCCCAATGTAAAAATCCGTGGAGATGGGCGCGTCTCTTCGAGCATCCAACATTCGAGGCGAACCTGAGAACATAGAAATCTAAGAGTGAAACTAGAAAATCTAAAAAAAAAAAAAAACAAAATAAATAACTGAAAGCAATAAATAACAAGAATTGGAAATTCGTGGGTTGCCTCCCACGCAGCGCCTTTCTTTTATGTCTTTGGCTAGACCATGCTCAGTTCAATTCTCGTAGCTTGGCGTGTCCAAAGCTACCCTCTCTAAATCCCTTCCATCAAAGCCTTCATAGAACGACTTTAGCCTATGGCCGTTAACCTTGAAAATCTTCCCCGTAGATAGACTTTGTATCTCCACTGCACCATGCTTAAAAACAGTTAAAACGACAAAAGGTCCTATCCATCTGGACCTTAACTTACTGGGAAATAACTTTAATTTAGAGTGATAGAGGAGAACTTTCTGACCTTTAATGAAAGACTTACGTGAAATACGAGAGTCATGGAACGCCTTGGTCTTCGCCTTATAGATGCNTAATCACAACTAGCAATTCAAATTTAGGCTAAAGGATTCAAGGGATCCTTCTCAAAACCAAAATCCCAAAAATGAAAGAACGAYTCTGAACAAGAATTGTGCAAATAAAATTCAATTAAGGCTCAATGTTAAACAAGTCTCAACAAAGTTCAATTCAAACTAACTATAATCTCATCACTAGAAACAGGAAACTAGCAACTCATAATTCTATTTTGAATCAGAAATTGAACTTGGGAGAAAACAATAGACTAGGAAGAACCTTAATTTAAGAAATCCAAAATCGACTTCAAAAATTTGTTTACTGTTGCTTTTCGAATTTTGGTTCGTACCTGTCCTCGACCGACTGCTCGATCGACTGCTTCTCCTCTTCCTCTAGGTTGCTCCTCCTTCTCGGCTGCTCGATGACAGCCCCTCGATAACCTGCTGCTTCTCGATTTCCCTTCTTGCTGTCAATCGACAGCCCCTTTCCTCGATGTCCCCTTCTCTCCTTGACCGACTGCCTCGCCTCTATCACAGCCTCTATATTGACAGCCCTTGTAGTCTCTTTTTCTCTCAAACGACAGCCAGCTGCTGCTTCTCCCCTCTCTGAATTTCCTTCGCGACAGCCCCTTCCGATTGTTCTCGAGACAGGCTCCAATCCAACAGCCCCTCGAACACTTGCTGCCATCCATTTTGTATCGACAGCCCCTTCGCCCTCTCTGCCCACGTCTTCCGTCTCCATCGCTCTACCCACGATCTCCTCTCGCTGCATATCTCTCTCTCTCGCGACTCGATTTCTGTTTGGGCAGCAGGTTTGGGCAGCAGCTGTTTCTTCTTCTCGATTTCCTTTTTTTTGCTGCTGGTCTGGGCTTACAAGGCTGCTTCTTGGGCTGTTGTTATGGGCCAAAGATAACACATAATCAAATACATTTTTCTCACCTTTAATAGCCTCATGAAAATAATATTAACTTAAATAAAAATGGATGTTTTAAGCGTCTACTTAACATTAATTGCAAGGTATCTTTGATATAAAAATGTATAAATTTGGGCTTATCATATAGGTGGCACATTCCATCGTATTATTTCTTCTCCAAAGGGTAAAAAAAATTAGGTTTCGTGAACGGTGCAACCGCATTAATTTGTTGTGTGACACCGTATGTATTTTGAAACTACAATGAGAACAAATTTTATTTGCCAGAGTTGGTTTGCAAGACTTTTATTCCACTCCACACCCAAGTCCGAATCATGTTAGTGTCATTTTCTTAGTCAAATGGTGCCACCATTTGAAAAAAAAAAAATCGTATATTTGTTTCTTATAGTCAAACGGTGTCACCGTTTATAAAAAATATTCCTATATTTTTTTTTCTTATGGTTAAATGGTGTCACCGTTTACAAAAATTTATGGGTCCGTCCCTGGTTAGAACTGACTTATATTTTACCAATATGACCTCAATAGCATGATTAAATTCAAAAATATTCAATATTTGGCTCATTTTGAAAGTATTGACGAGAAGATTATAATAGTATAATTTGTAAAAAAGAAATGCATTTTTTCAATGCATTTAAAGTTTGTACATTTAGCATAATAACTTGTACCTCTTAGAAATTTCAAGATAATTGTAAATCCCATTTTTTTAATATAGTATAGATACATGTACAGGGGCTTATTCATGTGAGAACTCCATAACTTGTGAGATCCGTAAGATCCATCCTAAAACACTGATTTGAGATAATTAATGTTATTTACTAAATAAAAATTAAAACATATTTTTAGAAAAGTAAAAAAATCCACAAATATCTCACTCTCTCTCCTCTCTCTGTTTCATATACATGCTCAATTGAATATCCACACAAGTTGGAAATATTGTGAACACAATGAAAATAACCTTAAGAAATTCGTTATTGGAGTGTTCACAACTGGTAGATTTAAGTTTGATTTTGTTGGTATTTACACATGATGCCAGATCTCCTAGATTCAAAATATGTTCACAAACTATAATAATATGAGTTTAAAAAACTGATAAATCGAAATGAGTCATGATTTGCATCAATACATTGCTAAATGCTGACGTACGACTTGTCGGGCAGTGTAACACATGATCTCACTTGGTCATTCCATTTTAAGCATGCTAAACATTCAAGTCGGATACCAAACTACCAAAAAAGTACCAAAAGTCTGCTACATGTACTGGTGACATCAATGTTGCCAGATCAACCCTCTCTTTCTAGGTGACTTACGAATAAGATGCTGTTTGTAATTTATTGTAGCATTTAACCTAAATCGATGACTTGCAATGTGAACTGAAAGTGTCTTCGTATGTTATTTGTTGTTGTGTGTCGTAATTTCAACAGATTAAACTAGTTCGAGGTGAAATTTGCTCTATAAGCTTATCCTACAAATATAATAAAATTTTGATCCCTGTGGTTTGTCGAAAATAACATATTTATTCCCTGTAGTTCTAAAATTATAAGATGACCATCATGATTTATGAAAATGTCCGGATTTAGTCCATCTTTCTCATGGATGTTAAAAAATCCGTTAAATAAGGGACATTTTTGTAATTTTATTGATTTTATGGTTTTGGTCCCTGTAGTTGTTGATTGAGTAACATACAAAAAGATTGATAAAAGAACAAAAGTTCTCCTCATTTGATGGGATTTTTTATTGTTTGTTAGAGGAAGAGACCAAATCATGACGTTTTTTAAACCACGATGGTCTCTTGTACTTTCAAATTTGTAGGGATAAAAAGTGTTATTTTTGACAAACCACAAGGACCAAATTTGTAGTTTACTCTAAAAAGACGTAATCCTTTTTACAATACAAAAGGCTAACAACGACATTCGGTCGGTGGGTTGGGCTTATAAAACCCTAAAAAAATCTGAAAATAGGGCGACTACGAACAATATTTCATAGTTCAGGGGGTGTATTTGCAATATGTCTTTTTCCATTAAATAAACGTCACGGCGAACACGCAGGTCGGTCTTTCGACGTCTATCAACATTGTTACAATTACATGATTCTTAACGGTCAGAAGTAGATCGAAGGGGCGATCTGGGGTTCATAAATCGGACAGATCTCGTCGTTATAGATCTGGTGAGTTTCACATTACATTAACAGAATCTCATACATTTTTCGATTTATCGTTTTTCATTGATTTTGATTAGGTTTTCGTCGTGTGTGATCAAATTTACAATTCAATTTGAATTTCTGATTGTATCTGTCCATGTATTGTACCGTGATGCTAGAGGAGCAATGTTTCAGAATTGATCTGAGATCTCAATGGAATTTTCTGATGCTACTCGAGATGATATCATTAGGGAATTATAATTGTTCTTGCCCATGTTAGTCGATTACGTGAAACCTAAAGATAGGATTACTGCAACGAACGATCGTGCTAATTTGTTTTGTTCTCTGTTAGATTGGAGTAGCAAAGTAAATTTGATACACAGTTATGGATGTATTGTTACCACATGACTAGCAGGTAGTTGCAATGGGAACCGGCATATACACTAGAAAGATAGAAGTTGCTCTTATTCATATTGGCCCTTCCACATTTGAAGACATAAATATGAGTTCGGTTTGGTGGATGATAAGATGAAACCCCAAAATGGATGGTGAAAAATGGAAGAAAATGATCTAAACAATGACATCTAGTAATCGGATTTGGCCATTTAACATTCTCATCATGGTCACATTTCTATAGGATAAAAATGATGATGATTTGATCACGGTCCTATTTACTTGGTGCTGCGCAAAATAGAACATTTTGAAGAACTCGGACCTCTGGGACCAAGTTACACATCCTAGATGGGATCATGGGAATTCTCTATTTTCAAACAGGGTTTGCATCTTCTAGTTCTTGGTAAAATATTTTAACATACATAACAGTTACAACACATCATAAAAACCGCCCATCTTTAGCCCGTGGTCAAGTCGCTGAATTTTTTTTGGTTGTTCATCTCCCATGCTCTCTCTCTCTCTCTCTGCCGAGGCCTTCTAAGGACTAAGGAGCATGAACTGCTTGGTGACATGCTCCAATTGGTGTGCATATACTTTCACTCTTGGTTACGCTGGCGTTTGTTAGAGGAATGGACTGTTTTGAAAATGTTCCCAACTAATTAATCTCAAGTATTAATGTGCATAATATATATAAATATATAAATACATACCTTTATTCATTAACTGTAATAACTTCTCATTCTCTTTTCAGACGTAGGATGATCATATCCTTGGGTCAAAAGTAAATTTTGCTATTTCTTTGTACCATCAAGATGTCTTCAGCTCAAGATCCATTTTATATCGTGAAGGAAGAAATTCAAGATTCTGTAAGTTGGCTTCTCAGGATTCATTTTGTTGCAATTTATGATGGAACAGTTTATGTTCTTTTTGTTTGTTTTTCGTTCTTTTGTTGCTGCTCTTAGTCACATTATTTACTTCATTCGTATGGAAACATTGATGTGCATATTCTGTTTTTCAGATCAATACTTTGCAGGCTACTTTTCACCAATGGGAACACATGCCTGTAGCCAGCGGGGAGCACACCCGACTCACAAAAGAACTCCTTTCCAATTGTGAGAGCATTGAATGGCAGGTATGCATCTCAACAGTCCTTGATTGGAACCCAAGTGAAAAGATCGATACTTTGCAGGCTACTTTTGTTGCATTAAGATTCAAGGTCAATACAGTCCTTGATTGGAAGTCATATGCTCGGGTTCTGAAAATCTATTTTACTGATAGGAAGGTGGACGAATTGGAGAAAGCTATTTCTGTAGCAGCTAGAGACCCTGCTTTATATGGAATTGATCAAGCAGAGCTTGAAAGAAGGTTTAAATGGACAAGAACTGCTCGGACTCAGGTAAAAACACACATATCTTGTATTTCTTGACCTTATTATCCTCCTTTCTCTGGTTCGATATTGTCAACACAAGTATGCAATACACCATTCAACCAGGTGGGCAATATTAAGAAGCCAGTGACTGGCACAGGCTCTTCTTCCCTGAGTGGAATGCGTCAAGAACTAATGAGACTGCCAAGCACTCATCAGCAAGACAAGGCCAACCATTACGTTGCTAAAGACAACGATGATTTTATTTCTTCAGAATCTGACCGACAGATGCTTCTTATCAGGTACTGTCTTTTTGATCTCTTCCTTTATTTTCTATAGATGTCAGATTGTCTGCATACACTTTTGCACAACTGAAAAATGCTCCGTTTATCTTTATGTAATTGCTACATTTAGACAACAAGATGAAGAGCTCGACGAATTGAGTGCAAGTGTGGAAAGGATTGGATCTGTTGGGCTTACCATACATGATGAACTCCATGCACAGGTACTACTTTCTCTACTGAGAAAGTCATTCTACTTATCTCTTCACATTCACAAGTTACTCAACCATACCACTGCAGGAGAAACTTATAGATGAATTGGGATCGGAGATGGACAGTACATCCACTCGTCTTGATTTCGTTCAGGTTAGTCATCCTCTCGTGTGCAGTGGGAATATCAAACCTGAATGCGTTTTTAAGGCTATGTTCTGCAAACTAGCTTGTTGGTGGCTAATAAGCTAGCTTATAAACTAGTCATGTTCGGTAAAAAAAACTAGCTGACATGCTAGATGACAATATAAAATGACTTACAAGTTCTTTGTCCCGGCCATTGTGTTCCTGGAAATTCTTGCTCCCAGTGGACCAACGAGTCAAAGTGGATTGTCCCACACTAGCACTTCCGCGCATGATTCTACCAACGTGATCTAATAGCTATAAATCTAAATAATTGTCCAAGTAGTAGACATTCTAAAAAGTTGTTTGGAAAAATGTAAAGGACATAATTTGGAAAAAGGCCCATGGAGCTTGTTGAAACATTATTTGTATTTGTAGTAGTGTTTCAAAAAGCTAGCTTATTCCTAACTAAACGATGCTTTTGCAATAAATTATAAACTCAAAAATTAAGTTAACTTATATCCTAGCTTTACGGTTGCGAAACATGGCCTAAACGTTGAACTTCACTGAGTACATGACTAAGTTTAATTATGATATTGAACCCGTTGCAGAAAAAAGTGGCGGTGGTTATGAAGAAGGCTAGTGCGAAGGGCCAAATGATGATGATCTTGTTCTTGATCGTTCTGTTTATCATATTGTTCGTGTTGGTTTTCTTCACCTAGGCTTATCGAGGTTAGAAGTTGTTTGGCTGTGAGCTTTATCATAGAAGAATTTTGGTATCGACAATAAAAGCACATTTTTATCGATGCAATTGTTTTTATTAGACCTTCGGTTGGAAATTTTCAACCCAACGTTGTAACCATGAGCAAATTTTGAGACGAGAAATTATTCTAATCGGTATGTTTGGTGTTCTAAAACACATCGAGAGGAAGCTTTGCATATCAAGTAAGACGACATGGAAGCAATATACTCTACGTACATAAAAACAGCAGGAGACATGCAACATAAGCTTGCGTATCAGTAAGGAAACCGACAACGGCGTACCATTAGAGAATCAAAGACGATCAACGTTCAGGATTTACCAACAAGAACGTCCTTGTATGGAGTTACATCTGGCGGTGGTGGTGGCGGTGGTGGTGCGGTGGTGCCTTGTACGTTCCTCGGCCACTTTCTTCGTTCTTCAGTAAGAAACGGGGTCTGCCCTTCACGTACTCGGACGAGTCGCTCTTGTGCCCCACCTCGTAGTTTCTCCAACCTTAGCCTATCCATCTGGAGCATGTTGAACACCTTAACTACATTCGCTAATCCCCCTATTAGTAACAACAGACTCGCGAACGTACCCATCCAAACCCAGGTACTTGTCTGCACATGTCACGAAAAAAAAACGTCGCAACTTTGAGTTTTCGACATGGTATCATATCACTGCAAAAAGAATCACCATTCCCGAATTACATTTGTTGCGATTTCTGGTCCGAGATGCCGACATGGTAAGCTAAGGGACAGACTGTTACTCGGTCAGTGATTAGTTTGACCCAGACCACGCTCTTACATCGTAAACGCTTACCTAATCTTTTTTGACAAATGACCCCTAAAAATCCATATTTAAAGATCACATACCATATATTACATTGTGAAAGAATTATAAAGCACATCAATAAGCAAACAGCAAAAGTTATAGATAGGAAACGTACCAATAAAGACAGACCATGCCGACCTCGAAGATGGCCCGAGTAATTACCGGCTTGCTGGCGAGTGTTAAAAATGGCACCCACCAAGAACAAGAAGCTTGCGGCCAAGAACGGGATGTGGACACTTTGTTGCAAGATTTGAACATGCCCATCGGCTCTCTCGTAGATTTGGCATGAATTCAGGATCGAACCAAGCACCCATAACACGGCACCAGCGAGAAGCATGTTCAACGCGTGTTCTTCGAGCCTCATGTTATGCATGTATCCTCTATCCCCCTACATTCAATAGAACATCATGATACAAACATTCCTTCGATACCCGAAATCGATCCCCCAACAATTGCATCCGCTAAATATTCCCGACTACGTCAAATTCTATATGTGTATGATTCAATGGTGTGCAAAGAGACAATCTAACAAGGTAAAACACGTAATACAAACAAACAACAGTAAGAAGTGTTTGAGATTGCTTATTCAAACTGTCTATCGACTTATTCCGGTGTTGTACCAATAATAAGAAGTTTTTGGTGTTTGAATGAGAAAAAAAGAAAAAAAAGTTTTGTAGAACTCCGGTTTGACACAACATAAGTTGATAAACACTTTTACAAAAAGGTATAAGTTGTTTTAAATAAGCAATTCCAAACGCCCCATAAATTATACAAATAACTTAACCTAATCCGTCTTTCCTTTCCTTTCTAAAAAACTTAAAGAATTTGGTTCGATAATTTATCTATACTATATTATAAAGCATTTGACAAAAACTCTAAAAAACCCATTTTTATGCATGAAATACTGTTTGTTAATGCATATTACTTAAAATTCAAGATTACAAATAAACCGTGCGTAAGTACAGCTTATTAAAGCTTCATGTTTGAATTTGTGTAACTAATTGCAGATAAACATAGTCAAATACAAACATTTCATTTTAAATATAAAAAATCTAAAATATCTATACTATCTTATTAAGCAAATTTAGCAAAAGTCTTAAAGTCTTAAAAAAGTAAATGACCAAAATACCCTTTATACTCACTTTTTCACTTTTTCACTTCTTCCTCTTCTCACATACACTCACCCCCTCACATACATTCACCCTCTCACAACGATTTTTTTTTTAAATTACTAGAAGCATACTCGCGCAATGCAGTGAGATACATCGTGATTTTAATATTTTATTTTATTCTTTATCTCAGTCGATGTTATAATATGGCTTTATGTGATTTTGAGAAAGCGATGATGTTTTTATTTTTGAATAAAATATACGTTTGAAAATATAATAAAAATTTGACAAAAATATATCGATATTA